ATGGTCAGGCATAGCAAGGAAGGCTTCCTCCAGGAGGTGACTAGCTTGTTGAGATAGTAGGTAAAATAAGTATCTCTTTAGGGAGAAACAAATAGGTGCAAAGACCTATGTGGGAGATCACATGACAGGGAAAAACCTAAGGGCTTCTGGTGTTTCCTGGAATGCAGAAAGGGAAGGGAGCTGTGGGATAAGTAGGGTGCATTTAGAAAAGTGTTAAGCCCTAAGAGCATGTAAGTCGTGATAAGGAACTTTGTCTATAGAGAGATATGACATCTCAATCTTGTGTTCTATAAATCTCTCTTTGGCTGCTTATGGAGGATAGACAGAATAGGTGCCTCTGTGTATATAATCATTTAGGAGCCTCCAGAATAGCCCAGGGGAGACATTATACTATCTGGGACCGGGTACTGATAGTCCCAAATGGAAAAAAAGTGGATGAATTTCAGATTGTTTTGTGTTTTTTTTGGTAAATATGACCAGATTAGGTGACTGAATTTGTGGAATGAGGGAGAGAGATGATAAGATGATTCCTTTTTTATTTTTTTTTTATTTTAATCTGGTATATTGTGAAGTCATAAAATATCTAAAGAGTATATAGGGAGGGAGAACCAAGTGCTTGGTTTGCAACATGTTAAATTTAAGGCACTTAAGGAAATTGGATGTATCAAACTGGACCCAAAATATATACATTCGTGATAGTCATTATAAACTTTGCTTTCTTTAAGAATTTTGCACTCTGTTTTTTAAAATGTGTACTGCATAGTATAACATGTTTCTCCTTTGTTCACTCTTTTATAATTAGGATTACTAAATCTAATTCATGTAACCACCTTAGTATTTATGGTTAGCATATCATGCTAACACTAACTTTCTAACTGTGCTTTTGTGGCTCAAGTGTCTGGTATGATTTCAAGTATATAAATAAATATATACCTAAAGATATTAAGCATAAAAAAAATCTATCTGGTTGAGAGCATATATAATTTTTTAAAGTTTCTCAAACAGATAGTATAAGAATAAAAAAATAATGTTTATTAAAAATACTTGAAAGTATTAAATAATGTTTGCAATTATGATAAGTCACCTAATGTTATCAGAGTTGATATTTACAAGTCTTAAACACCAGAAAATTTGTTCCAACAAAATAAAATTATTTTAAATATTACATATTAAATGTCAGTAAGTAAACCTTAATATACAGAAGGCATATTAGTTTTATAGAGTGATCATCATTGCTATTATGTGCATAGCAAATTATCTTTATATATATAGAATCTATTTACACAGGCATATGCATCTCCTGTTCAGACATTGTTTATTGTGTAAATTCATCAGTGCTTTAGTTAAACCAGAAACAACAGCAGAAACAGAAACAAATACTATTTTACTGACCAAGACTAATTGCAAATGCCACAGTGAGAAACATAACTATCATAACAACCACCACCTCTTCACCTTTCCTGCACTAATAACTAATGGGTATCCCATTGCCTCATTATTGTACTACTTCTCCATTCATTATTTCCTCTAAGAAAGTTCCCAGTATTCCATTTATTTTTAAAAGGATTTAATGGATGTGCTATGAATTTTCAATGAGCTATTTGAAATTTGGGGAACCTAATTAGGAATGTATTTACTTTCTTTATTTTCAGGGTGATTAACTCCACAAAAGAATTTCAGCCTAATGTTACTCCAAAGAAAAAAAATAAGAAGGGAAAAGTAGATTCTACTTCTAGGGACTAATGGACTGCTAATTAAAAAAATTGAATTAAGCATTAACTCAGAAGAGGCATTTTAAATATATAAATTACTTCTGTTTAGCTTTCTAAGGCCAGGTTAATTAAGTAAATCCTTTGGTCTTATTGCTATTAGTAAATGAAAATGTATTTGAATTAACTAAGTCTTATGATTTACATAAGGGAATCTATATCAGAAAATGTATTTCCTTTGCTAAGAACTTTCATGACATCAGATGATTTATTTTTAAAAAGTCAGCCTCATTCATAGAAAACAAAAAGTTCATTAATTATCTAATTATTTGGGCAGATAAAATCTCTGGAGCTCTTGTGTGATTGCTTTTAAGAAACAAACCCTATACATTTCCATGTCTTCCAAATGCGGAATTCAACCAGGCTTAGATGGGGCTCTCTATTTCTTTAAGGAAAGAAAAAGATGAAAAATCTAGAATATCTTCCTCAAGTTTCTTTATTTAATAAACAACTCAAGGACCTAAGCAACAAAAGCAATTCTTAAGATAAATGATTAAATCATGTACCAAAGGAGTACAAGGTAATAAAATATACAAAGAAGAAACTTACGCTAAAATAATGACTTCTTATCTGTCTCCCACATACTTAGACTCATCATTTTATGCTACAGTTATAGCTATAATAAATTAACCTCAATATAATCTAATATGTCCTTCTGTTTATCTCTTAAAAGTGGTCCTTATACATTATTTTGAGCATACTAGCAAAATGTACTGGCTGCCTACTTTAAAACTTATGTAATCCATAGCACCATGATTCAAAAATAAATTCTTCAACAACCATCTCTATGTTCTCTGACAGGCATAGACATTATATTGCTGGCACACATTATATTGCTGGCACACTGAGTTACATGCTGTAAACTAAGATTATTAAGTGTCTTCTACCCTTTCTTTCAAGGAAATTTTAATTGCTAAGCCCCTAATTACCAAACAACAATATCAAAGTTATAACAAACCTTGCTCTTTATAAAAATTCACCCAAAGCATTTTCTGTGTGGTGACATTTTGATAAAAATATATTCCTAAGAGCAGCAAGAGATGCCTATATCAAATATTTGGGAGAATGAGGGATAAAAAGAAATATAGCAAATTTAAACTAACTAAACTATAAAAATGGCAAAACAATAGAACAATAAATATGAACCAGGAAAGTAAGGACTTTTCCAGAGAAATTGTCTTGACTTTTCAGATCCTATGGACATAAATAGCCATGTAATTAATGCATTTATCTGATTTATCCAGTAATTAGAAAGCCCAAAAATATAAATGTAGCTTGGAATTTGTCTCCTGATTTCAATTCATTTTCTTATACGTGATTTCCCTTTTCTTCAGGTTTTTTCTCTCTCCAGTATTAATATTTATAAGTAGCCACAAAGTCTCCTTCAATGACACAAAAGAAATATGTCACTCAATATTCCAACCAAACAGGACAAATTCTATTTCTAGTTTCACCCCCATATCTCTATAGAGCACAAGAGATCAAAGTCATAGAATGAATACTTGATTTTTTTTTCATACTCACCTAAGGATATGTTTATTGATTTTAGAGACAGAAAGAGAGAGAGAGAGAGAGAGAGAGAGAGAGAGAGAGAGGGGGGGGGAGGGAGAGGGAACATCAATGTGAAAGAGAAACATCAACTGGTTGCCTCTTGTATGAACTCCAACAGGGGATGGAATCTGCAGCTAAGGAATATGCCCTAACTGGGAATCAGACCTACAACCTGTATAGGATGACACTACAACCGAGCCACACTGAATAAGTGCTAGATTTTTATGAATCAAAAGGCCAAGGATTTTATCTCAGCTTTACAAATCATTAGTCAAGGTATTATACTTTGATAAAATACTTGTTCATTCTGCATCTATTTACTCACGTGCAAACATTAGTATTGTAATATTTCCCCTGTCTATTCCTCAAAGCTGCAAATATAAATTATGGCAATGCATTATGAAACAATCCTAATTAAACAGAAAATTCCATAAAGATATAGGTCATAGACATAACAAATATATATTTTGTGTCTCCAGAAAAATGATAGAAAAATAACAATTAGTGAATAATGTTGGTTTTCATTTATACATTAATTTGTAAGATTTTTTAGTAAATCTCTTCTATGTGTTTTTTTTTGGGGGGGGGGAGATATTGCCTGTTTTTTATTGTAGATACAAAACATTTAAGATATACTGTACATTTTCTGCTGAAACCGGTTTGGCTCAATGGATAGAGCGTCGGCTTAGGGACTGAAAGGTCCCGGGTTCGATTCCAGTCAAGGGCATGTAACTTGGTTGCGGGCATATCCCCGGTGGGGGGTGTGCAAGAGGCAGCTGATCGATGACTCTCTCTCATCGATGTTTCTAACTCTCTATCTCTCTCCCTTCCTCTCTGAACAAAATCAATAAAATATATATTTTTTAAAAAAGATATACTGTACATTTTCTAATTATTTTTATATTGCAATATGACATGAATTGGATAGAGAATATTAAATACAATAGGATGTTAAAATGCAGAAAGACAATCATTACTAAAAATTCCATTTTTGATCTATACTAACAGAAGGCATAAGATACACATATGACTAGTCTTAGTCATTATCTGGTGTTCAATCAGCAAAATGTTCGGAATTTCTTTTCAAGTCAGCAACTGTTCACTCAAAGGATTGTTTCCCAGCATAGGCAATATATGCCCAAACACTTAGCAGAGTTTCTAGAACATAGCCAATGTTAAGTAAAAATTAGCTTGCTTCTTCTATTTCTGATGGTAGAATAACAAAGGCTGTCAGGTTGTTGTTGGTATATATATATATATATATATATATATATATATATATATATATATATATTAGCAAATCCATTTTTTCCCTGTCAATAATTTTACTAGAAATAAATAACACTATGTAAGTACATGGTACGTATTTTTTCATAAAAAAACCAATAGATCTATAGGTTATTATTTATCATTAAGAAATATTGAGTGTCTCAAAAAATATATACACACTTGGAATAATTACAAAGGAAGAGTTTATCAAAATACATTCCATTTTTCAAAATTGAGCTCTCAGCTGTGAAAGTGTATACACTTTTTTGGGACACCCTGTATAAATTTAGCTTTGAAACACAATTAGCAATGAATTATTTTCAACCACGGAAGTCTGCAACAATTAGAACATTCTCTTTAACTGGAAGGAGCTCCCATTGGCAATGATCAAACTGAAGGCAATCAACTTACTTCTGGAGCCTGAAGAGTTCCTCACTGCTGGGAAGGAGTCAGCACTCTGCCTGGCTGCTGCAGACCGACAGGGTGAAAGCATCTCCAAAACTGAGTCTGAGGCTGGTGTCAGAAGGAAGGGTGCTCAGCTACTGCATGGCTTCCCAACACCTGGCTGAATGGTTACAGGGACTCTTCAGAGGAGACAAGCACAAAAAAAGGTGTATCAAAATATGTTTAGGAAGTATCTTTGATAAATATAGTTGCTGTTAACTGTGTGATCAACCTCAAACTATATCAGGAATATCACTAAATGGAATTTAAATAGATCTGCATAATGAGGCTTTCTAGAGGAATGTGCAATATGTATGCTCTGATTTCAATAGATATGTCGCGTTCTGTTTTTCATTTTAGAAGGAGTCTTCTTATCTCATAATTGAAAATAGTTTAAACAATCAACAGATATGTATTTCAATTTTATATATAGTATTTCCATTAATTCAACTTGCAAGTGAATGTCAAAATTTTTTCTTAGTCAATAAATGTATAATAATCACCTACTGTGCACCAGATACAGAACCCTGGGGATCTATCACCGAAATGAAGCTCTTAAATCCTGCCCTCATGAAGCTATTAGTCTTATGTTGCATTGCCTGTTTTTCCTTCAATAGATCAACTATATATTTCAACACATAAGTCTATGAAGAAAATACACAGCTATGCCAGTTGTATTTTAACTTTCTGTCAGAAGATTGTTGATTTCTATCTATTTCTAAGAGTTCCATGTCAATCTAAATAATAATAGACCTAATTATTTAAGACACGATATTTACCCCCCAAAGATTCTTCTAACAGAACCAGCTGATACTCAACCATTATCATTCTTACTGCAAAAATGAGCTAAATTTATAAAAATGTTGAAGTGAATAAAAGCATTGTAGTTTTCCTAAGCTATGACTTATTTCATCTACAGAAGCAAGAGTGAGAAATAATGCAATTCCAAAGTTAACAATAAAAATAATAAAAAATATATAAGATGATACAAAGATAACAGGTTAGGTTTATTGTCCCATAAGTTAAGCTATTGCCTAAGTTTACACTGAAATTATTCTGAAATGCTAAACATCAATGCATACATTAATACTAAAGTTAAATAAAAGTAAGTTATAGTTCATTTCAAATCATCTTTTAAATGTGTCAAAAATGATCTTTTAAAATTTTATGTTACAAAATATAAAATTATAGAATAACTCATGACATACTCATACAAATATAAAACAATCATGCACTAACCACTCTGAGACAGCTATTGTTTGCCTTGTCATTTCTTTCTTTCTATTAATATTTTAAACTAATTTTACATGCATGCTAAAATTACAAGAAATCTGAAAGTAAATCTTCCTCCAAAGCAAGACACATTCCTTTCAGAAAGAAACTAATTTCACATTTCAGAATGTCCTATAAGAAATAGTTTATACATACATAAAAGTATGTGTGCATAGATTTTTACATATATCTAAGAATACTGTACCCTGTTTGTCCTATGCCTTTCATTTAACATATCAGGGAGATCATTCCATTTCTGACTTCTATTAACAACCCCATCCATTGTATCAGCAAATATCCCTCATATGCATATAACACAATCTGCTCACGTGTTCCAATTGAAAATTAATAACTTTCTAGGCTTGTTTATTATAAAGTGATTTAACCAATGTCAATATACATGTATCTAAGAGTGAATACATGTATAATAAATTCCTAGAAATAAAATGTTTAGAACAAGTTTCATTGTTTTTGAAACTCTGATTATGTCCTCTTTTCTGTAGTGAAGAGATAGTATAAAGCAGAAATAACTTTGAACTTATAATGATGCTTTATATTATTGCATTATGATAGCAATATATATATATATAATATATATATATATTTCCTATAATTATCATAACAACCACAAAAAAGGATTAATGACCAACAGTATTTACATGTATTCATTTTAGCTTGAAGAGTATAGTGACTGTTACAATCCTATCTAAATTCTAATTTCCCAGAGAAACTTCCTTTTAGGTATGGTTAAATTATTTAATAATTATAACATTTTCTTTCATTATAATACTTTTATTAAGCATTTAATGTGTGCCAACTATGAAAATAGGTATTATCTAAGTCAATTCTCTCAATAATAAAATGAGATAAATTACATTTATCTATATACTGGCATAAGAGGCAGGAGTATAAATATTTCAACTAACCTTTGGCAAGGTAATATAGCTCATAGTTGACAAAGCTGGGGTTTTCACCTAGGTCTATCTGACAACAAATCAATGCTTTTATATCTTATGATGTAAGATTTCAAAAAAACATCTTAAATTCTATAGTAAAGAAACAATAAGGTGCTTTTTTTAGTCCATATCTTTTGACCATTGTAATGCCAAAAATAGTTAGATTGGAATTAGAAAAATACAATTTTTCTAGTATTTCCTTTTCTTCTTGAGAGTATGCTAAAATAAAACATCTTATAGGAAAATCTGATCGATTTCTTAATTCCAGGTTGATATATTTGCCTTCTTCCACAGTCTTAGAACATCTGGCAACAGTTAATTTGTATGTACATGTATTCTCAAGAAATATGGTTCTTCCTCTAATGATTACCTTGAATGACAATACTAAACTTTGAAAGAACTCAGGAAACTGGCCAAGTTCTGGAAGTTATTACAGAATATCTTTAATAAAACTGGAACTCAAGACCCTTCCAGTCCCTAGAAGAACTTTCTTCCCCTCTGTCTTTGCTAAGTGTTCGTCAGTTGTCTAAATGTATACAGATGCTCCTCTACTTTCAATTATGTCCCCAAAACACATAATTTAAGCTGAAACACATAATTGAATGCACTTAACCTATGAACATCATAGCTTAACCTAGCCTACCACTGGGGAAACTCATCTAAACAATGGAAACACTATAGACTACTGGTTGTTTACCCTCATGACTGCCTGGCTGGCTGGAAACTGTGACTCATTACCAATGTCCAGCATCATGGGAGAGTATTATACCACATATCACTAGCCCAGGAAAAGATCAACATTCAAAATTTGAAGCACAGTTTCTACTGAATGAAATCACTTTCACACATCATACAGTCAAAAAACTTAAGTTGGATATCATAAATCAGGGACTATCTGTACTTTGATCCCAATTTCACTATCTGAGCAAAGGTAGGACATTAACATCTTATAAACCTTGGTAGAATCATAGCAATAATCATATTACTCAGGTTTTCTTTAAAAAATAAATAAATAAAAACAGCCAAAACCAGTTTGGCTCAGTGGATAGAGCGTCAGTCTGCGGACTGAAAGGTCCCGGGTTCTATTCTGGTCAAGGGCATGTAACTTGGTTGCGGGCATGTCCCCAGTAGGGGATGTGCAAAAGGCAGCTGATCAATGACTGTCTCTCATCGATGTTTCTAACTCTCTATCTCTCTCTTTCCTCTCTGTAAAAAATAAATTAGAATATATTTTTTTAAAAAACAGCAATAATATTACAAAAAGCTGTAATTATTTCAAGGCATAATATCTGAAAGTACTAATCATAGTGCTTTATTATTTGTAGACACGCAATCATTTTGTTTCCCTTGGGAAGCTTTTTCTAAGGTTGCCCTGAATTTTAACCCATTGAACACAAAGGAAATCCTTGAAATATCCAAAGATAAAAGTAACATGATCTTAAATATTTCCTTCAATTTAAAGATCCATAGAGGTTGAACAATTATGAATCCACCAAATGGTATCATTACCAATCTTTCTCCATCTTATCTTTAATGGTACAAAATAAATAACATGCAAGAGGTATTCTACAGTAGTCTTAAATTATATGTACTTTGTGTGAAAATGATTAAAATTAAACATTTAATAATGCAGATATTTGATGTCCATGGTGCAAAAAGCCAGCTATTTCACTGCAACTCATTTATTTCATAGTCATCCTATATAATAAAAGCCCAATATGCTGAGTGTCAGACCATTCATTCGACCATTGGACCATTTTCTATGATGTGTACTGACCAACAGGGATCAGATGCTCCAACTGGCAGCTTAACTTACTAGTGGAGCCCTGCTGGACATGCTGTAGAGACAGCTAATTGATGTTTCCTTTTCTCATAGATGTTTCTTTCTCTCCCTCTCACAACTCTCTCTCTAAAAATCGATAAAACATGTTGTTGTTTTTTGTTTGTTTGTTTAAAAGAGGAATAACTTAAAAAATATTTAAGGAAGAAATATAGAATAAAATAATTTTACATTGAGTTTTCAAAATGCATAAATATTCAGAGAGATTCATATGATTGAATATAGAAATGTATTTGTGTTATTGAATATAAATGTAATATTATATACTCAAATATAGGAAAATGTTTACAAATTATTGTATACATCTAGAATCCTATGATAAATAAATTAAGGCACCACTAGAGCATTCATTGCTTAATGTAAATGTCACAGTGTAAATGAAAACAACTAATCATTCTTTCCTCTAATAGCAAGCTTTCAGCAGTTTAATAAAACATAACTCTTGATGACCTGAAAATTTTTATTACTGCCTTTGTAATTTCCCATTAAACAAAATAACTTTAAATGATGGGTACATTTCAATAACATACAACCCAAGGTGAAGGGCTTTTTTGAGAGGAACAGAAGATAAGTTGAGGTAGGGTTGACTTTGAAATGTTATTAAGGATCTAACTTATTCACTACATTTCATAATGATCATTTAAAATAATATTTTTCATTGTAACAGAACAGATACTAGTTAGTAACTGATTTAGTGAAGAAACAAAATGTTCTATCATAATTTAATTTTAATTACAAAAAAAAATCCTACTTAGTAAATTTGGTTGTTTGACTGGCATATCTTTTTTTTTTTTTTTTTTTTTTTTTTTTTTTTTTTTTAGTGATTTTGATACCAAGTTTATTTATTTGCAGGTGAACAGTACAGCATTTACAAAACATATTTTGTATAATCAAGTCTGCATTGCCTTCACACATTGAGGGACTAAGGAAGACTTTGTCCTTCCAACAACTATAAACAACCCTGGATAATGAGTTTATAGAAAACACTTTCTCTTCCTTCAGCAAAAGAAATTATTTATGAAGCTGTACCGTCAGCAGTGGGGAGCAAAAGGAAAAATTACCTCAAGGAAAG